TTTAATTTTTGTGTCAGTGATGATTACAGCAATCCTCTTTTTTGATATCGTTACACAGGCACAAAAAAAAACATTCGCACACCTTATGATAAAAGCCAATAAAATATTTGTTTTGCTCAGAATCTTTTTAGAACTTTTGTTCAACAACTTTTTTTAAAACTTAAACTAATTCTGGAAGGTAACGTCTGGGATGTAACGTTTTATAAAATCGACAATGGAACGTTGAATAAATGAGCTTAAGAAACACTGGTTTGACAGGATTTATAAGCTACTTCATGTACCCGCCAAAAGTACTCATTTAAAACAAGATAATAATTAAGCTAGTAGTCAAGGGGTTACCTTCAGTGACTGTTTTCGACATTTAAAAAGTGATGCAGTTATCCCCTGAACCGAATGTATCTCAATCGTCCTCGACATGTGAATCAACGTACCGGGTTTAAAGAGAGGAATCTTAGAACAGAGACAAGTTGTAAGATAAAGATAAAAAATTGTATATAGCGTAGCTAAGATTAAAGTACACCGATAAAATAAATTATTGTACATAAATATATATTTATACATATAATATATAAATACGAAAATAATAGTGATAAATGGATAGATTTTATGAAAATCTGTGAACTATTATCACGGTTTATAAACTAAACATTTTCCCATTATGGAATTTCAAAAATATTGTGTTAATTTCGTTTTCTATTTCATTTCACGATTTATCAAGAAAAAAGCAAAAAAAAAAAAAAAAACTTAGGATGTATTCATACGTATAGAGTATTATGAAACTGCAGATACATTAATTCGAATTCAGTTGTTTAGTGCCGTAACTATTCGGTTTTTAATCTGACGAGATGATCGTCGTAAAAATTGCATATTACTGTCATTTTAAATGCATATAGGACATGGTACATCGTAGGTTATAAAATTATCCATTTCGTCTATTTATTTGGATATTAATCAGCAAAAAACTCGATATATTAAAAATAAATTACTAACTAATTCATTTTTTGGCCGTGAAATAAGATTTGAAAATGATTTTAAAAAATGTAAAACTTTTGCATGACTCGGAAATAATTTTTCAAAAATATAATTGTTCTGACTTTTATTTTTCTTAATTTCAACTTCAAAGGTAAATTTAATATAAAGTCAATTTTATTTTTTCCGTCTAAATTTAATAAATTTCTAAAATTGTTATTAAAAAAATATTTTATAACCATATTATACAATTTAAAAGACGCTTAACATCATAAAACCTGTTATCGTTTGATAAACTCGACTGAGTACAGATATTTTTTAATATACAATGTACTTATTATATTTATCATTAATTTGAAAAAGACATTATAATGAATTCAGATAAATAACAAGCTTATATTTCCCGCGTCTTTTTCAAACGATATCAACTACTTTTCTATTTACCGTTCGGCTTAAAATGTTTAATATATAAACGTTTCAAATCCTATAATCTTATGCAAATTAAAAAAGTATTAAACGCATTCGTTTCATATTATTGAAGTAGCATTTTACTAGTACTGCATTAACTAAAAACTTTCACTTTTACTATTTTTAGGACAGCGTTGAGCATAACGTAAGTCATGTTTATACGTTAATACTTAAAATTTAAAGAAAATTGAACAGGAGTACAGATATTTTTTTGATCTTATTTATGTTTTATTTATTGTAATGGTTTCAAACCAATATAGTTTTTTTCTGATTATTGATGAAATAAACGTAGAATTATAAAATATAAATAGTCATAAGTTAGGTCGACATGCGTCTGATTAACCACAATTGTTTTCAAACTTATTATCTTTAATATATTATTTTCAAGCAAATATTTTTTTTATTTTTTTTATTTTTTGAAGGGGCATATGTATTCAAACCGAATATAGGTAGTACAGTTATAACTGGAGCAGATTAAATATAAAATTGAATAGTTATGGTCCATAGTGATTGGTGCTCGTCAGCGATCCGTTGCCATCATCCAATAAGTAGTCGGTTCATAGCTCAGTCTATAACGAAATAGAGTGTATACTTGACGTAAAGAACTACTATTAATTTTATAAGTACAACATGATTACGATTCTAAAATGATGTGTACGTAATATTATTACATCCATTAGAAAAATGTAAGTAATAAAACAATAGAAAACTTAGTAAGAGGTTAATACACGTAAATGAATATTTAAATAAATAAACGGCCTGGAGTATTATTACATGCGTAATATACGACCAGTTTCAAATTAAAAATTCATTTTCAGGTATTTACAAAACCAATATTTACTTAAGCCACGATTTCATTGACTTTGTATGTACCTGATGATGAATTTTTAATTCAAAACTGGTCATACATTACACACAAAACAATATTCCAGGCTATTTATTTATTTATTTATGTGTACAAACTACTTATTTGTACAAAAAATTTAAAACTTGGATCGAACAACAAAGACAAATCATTGTTATTCATCCTCTATTTTTTATTTACATTGTACGTCTTTAACAAAAACGTTAAAAGTCTGCTAATACAATTTCAACTGAAATATAAATTTCAAATAAAAATAGGTATTAAACGATTCGTTTATTTTATTTGTTACTTTGTATTATCTTAAAAAAAATGTGTTCTAAGCCGAGCAATAATTTCAGGAAATCAAAATATTCCTTTTATATATATATTTAGTTTGTCCTACTTTTATCGAAATAAATTCGCAGAATCTTGTACACTGATTTCCGAGAAAATATCAGTTGCTTGTAGGTCACATAAAAGTATTTCGAAAATATGATATTGCACAAAATCATCACTGAAAAATGACGAAATTTTAATAACCACATGCAAACGTAAAACAAAATGTACAACTATTTGAACATAGTTCATTTCCCTGTTTGTACCTAGTGGTTTCTCAATAATGCCTTTGCATAGGTTCGAATTTCATCACTTTCGGTGATTTATTTGCTATTTTCTTGATCTTTTATTTTTATACCTTTGTAACAATCTATATGTATCTGTAGTTTCCACTGAAAATTAACCCAGAGTCTCATTTTAGTTGTCTGTTTTTTCCACATATTTAAATCAGTACGTAATTTAAATAAAAGTAACATAAAAACACGTTTTTTTTTCGAATAAAACATGAAGTGACTTTTTCTTTGTATATTTTCATATTAATATCAAACATTTTTCCAAAAATGTTTAACTAATTATAAAAAGAAGCAACTATTTGTAGCCGATTTGCAAATATTTTCAACAATGTTTTAATAATTTGCAATTCAATACTATCAACACTACTCAATTTTTTTTATCTGGGGGAGGGGGTGAGAACTCATGTTGTCTCCTATCAAATGCTGCAAATAGTTATGACTTAGTTGCAAATTGTTCGTCCATGTTTGATATTAATATGGCAACATGTAGAAGCAACCTTCCCGCATGTCTTTTCTCACATATTTCTTGTGCGAAAACTGTATCTTCAGTATTCTTAACAATGTTCTCAAAGTAATATATTGTATACTATATATATTTTGAAGATATTCCTTCATATTTTGAGTAACTATTAAATAATAAATATTTTTTTCCAGATTCCATCCTCATAATATACAATTCTATGAAACAAACCTGTATACAATATTATACTAAAACCCATACAATATACAAAACGTATTGTTTCTTTGAGCATCATAATTAATTCAGTTTTACTTTTTTGTTAATCCGTATGTGGTTCTATATTATTACATTTGAATAATCATTATATCATGCATGTAATAAGTTCTCAAATTTTATACAATTTTTTTTTTTTTTTTTTGAGATGATAAGCTTTTCTCTCTATTATCCTCGTTATCTTTATATTTGAGAACCACCTTTTCCTATTTTTTCGCTTCACAGTTTTGTACTACCCATCATACACTTCGTTGTCAAAGTAATCGTTGAAATGGATAATTATGGCATTTTTATAGCTTATTTTTATTATATTTTTATTACTTGCATTTTTTTCTCTTTTTTTTTTCACATTCAGTTCCCTTACGTTTCGGATTTCATAACGCTTCATTTCGTTGTCAAGAGTTTCCCCAATCCTTTTCCTTTCATAACCCTCTATTTCGTTTCCTTTTATCCCATTTTCTCTATTTCTATTCCCTTCAATTGCTTTTCTCTCGTGTATTTTACTCTTGTTTAATCCCATTTCGTTTCGCTTCAATAGTTCTTAGAAAACATAAACCGTATTTTATCTGTTGTATAAGAATATGGTTTTACAATTCGGTTTGTCTTAGTAATTTTTCCTCTTGTAATATATTCGATAATAATAACAGTTGTAACATAATATATTTGTTAAAATAACAATACGTTGGGAACCACCCCAAAATTCAAAAACGTATAACTGTATAAATATCCAGTTAAAAACCTAAGTGTCGATTTCGACTATTATACTAATAGTGACTGCTACAACAACTATATCAATAATATAACACTACTTTTTCTTCTTTATTTTTCTTCCAGTCTACGTTTTTCTCCAAAATAGTGTTTACTCCACCGCAAAACGATAACCATGTTTTAAATTAAATCTATAATGCCACGTGTCAGAAGCCGAATCAATTTTTTTTTCTTGATAACATAACAATTGAGTTTTCTTGAGTTAATCATCAGCCCAGAGAAGCAGACTGATTTAGGTCAGTTCACTGCAATGCGCGTATCAAATTCAACGGATAATCAAAGGGCCACTTTATACAGGATACAGCGTAAAGAAGAATAAGGGTAGAATAAGGAGAGGGCTTTGGGTCCTAAGCTTTCCAAAAATGTAAACAGATCATTCATGTTCTATCCCTTAGAATCGTTGAATTCGATATTTTACCCAAAAAGAATGTGTTAAATACGTACGTATTAATATTGGAAATAGGATATCAACCGCCTTGAACGACCACGATAATATTATGCACATTTCTTTCGTCCGTCGCGGATGCTGCGGACTTCAATCGTACTTCACTTGTGTCTGATTGGCTTTGCGTTTCGTTTCGTGTTTCAGGTGTGTTCCTATTCTGTTGGGTGCCGTTCTTCACGTGCAACATCTTGGACGCGATATGCCACAAATTGGACAAGGACTGTTCGCCCGGCGTCCAAATGTTCATCCTGACCACGTGGCTGGGCTACATGAACAGTTTCGTGAACCCCGTGATCTACACGATATTCAATCCGGAGTTCCGGAAGGCGTTCAAAAAGCTCATGCGAATAGGCACTTGACCCGTGGCCGACGGAGCCGGCCGGAGTTTCGCCACAAAGGTCTGCGACAATTGACGACGACCACAAAACAATGTCGTTTGAATTGTACTACTATTATTATTATTATTACTATCATCATCATCGTAATTATTATCATTATTATTAATATTATCGTTATTATTGTTATTATTTTTATTATTGTTATTATTATTATTATTATTATTATTATTATTATTATTATTATTATT